TCGTCAGGCATCACTCTCATGCTAAGGGATGTTTTCTTCAATCTCTTTTCGTAAATTTTTTGCGCTTGGTTTTAGCTCAACGTTTTGACTATGGATGTATTTTGAGTCGTTTGTGCTTTATATGTCTACAAGCCCATGTTATTGCCTTTTATATTTTGTACGTTACTAACGTACAAAATCGTCGAGGTCTAATGTAACATTAGGCCTCGACACGCAAACCCGACCTGCCACAGCATTATCTTAAAAATTATATTCCTCAGAAACGATTTCTCCAATTTCTTTAGCACTTTCTCCGATGCCACTCGGACTGGCCGACCACTTGGTTTTTTGATATCAGGATTTCCACACTCATCGTACATCTCCATTATATGTCTTTCGTTGCATTCCTTCACTTATAAAAAAAGTACGAGTATTTTTTCGATCTTTGAAAATCACTTCGTATGTTTGGAAAACACGTTTTGCGACTTCTTCCGAATTTTTTCTCTTATTTTTAGACGAGTAGAGATTAACCAATTTTGTTTTCGGATACTTTGGGCTAACTCAATTTTTTATAAGACGTAATTAGTGCTAAATTTTAACTGCCACCAAATTATAGTAAACCACGTGGGAAAAATGCAACTTTCTTTAGTGGTATGTGTTCATATGGAATAAATACGAGGGCTCATTTTTAAGTACCTGGCCTGTACATGAAGGGAAGTCATTTCGCCCAACTTTTTTCATTAAATGTTAAGTACCATTGATCGATACACTATAGAATAAGGTATAAACCAAAAAAATTTCAGATTTCTACGTTTGATATTGACTTAGATAAGAACCATCAAAACTTGTCCTCGAAAAATGCCCAGAATCAAACGGACCATGCCGTATTTATTAAAGTTTGTTTTTTTTTGCTCGAGCTAGTAAAGTTTATCATTCCCGATGTGACTTTGCTCCATGCTTTACTAAAAGTTTTGTTAGAGCATTTTTAATCTCAGAATCAGTTTCTCCTAAATCAATTGGAGAAAAATCTTCTCAGTAATTTATAAACAATGTCCCAAAAATGGGAAATCTTAGTGAGGATTGGCACAATTACAATATTAAATACATTTTGGTTGCAGAAGGTTTGCATCACAGCTCTCGAACAATTTTACACTGCAAAAATCGTCAATCTTTTAAAATCCACTTGGGAAAAATCATTCAATAAAGAATTTAATTAACTTACCACACGCCAGATTAAAATTGTCAATCCCATAACTTATCCTTAGTTTGAACATTAAATTTGGACAATCATTTTATAGGCCGTTAAGGAGAATATAATAAGGTGAAATATCAGGTTTTCCACAAATTCTCAACCAATCTTATCCAACAAAATTCTATAATATACCAAAATACTCGTATGATCAAGACCGATCGATTGTCACCCCTATGGATGTGGTGTGATCACTTCATGGGGGTCGTCCCCAAGACCTACCACTTTTCCCTATTCACTCTTGACAACGCGTCGCAACCACACTTTTAGAAACCTAGTATTTATCCAATACCTGTGGTATACATACATATCTACATATATGACTTTACCGCCTTCGTATTGAACCCCAATACCAGGTTGGTACTAGCATAATACTTTGCCGGAATACTTTCCATACTTACCGGAATTAGATTCTTACCTACTCGGTATTGTTCCAATACTAAATCATTACTAGAGTTATATATCTATACCGATTTTGTTTAGAGTGCACTAAAAAATACCACTTTCCCAAATTCCAAAAAATTTTATTCTTTTTCCTAATAATAATGCCTTCTGTAAGTATGATAGTTCTCCATAACTACTTGTATGCCTCCTTGGTAAATCTGCTTCCTGATTGGCTAATTAAATTCAAACTCATGTCAACAACCAATCAGAATGCTGTCATGGAAATTCAACGGGACGGACTTTTGTAAATTATTATGTAGATGGCAGTAATATTTAGCTCATTAATAATTTGTATTAATTTTTTGGATTTCAAACTTGAATATCTTCGTCAATTTTTATTTAATTGTGGTCATCTTGATATCAAAATTTGCAGAAAAATATGGTCTAATAGGTTTTGAATAAGCGGGGCTTCTAACTTTATTCAGTAATTAACAATAAATTTAAATGTGTTTCTAGGACATATCTTGGGGGTGATGTAAATACATATATACTTAGTATTTTTTTGTTGTGGTGTTTGTTTCACTAAGGAGGAGAGGACCTTCATTTGTAATTCTGATATTTTGATGTATTTTGGATATTTGGCAACCATGGGTGAGTGGTGGACAACCCTAGAATGGTTAGATGCCATGGCCCCATGTGCGTCCGCCACACCCCCTCATACGTGTAAAAAATTCATGTTTTCATTTGTTTAATCTACCGCCAAGACTCCGATTTTGCACTCATTTGAATATTTTTAACATATTATCGGTCACAGATAGTTGTTTTATCATATCTAATATCAAAATTACGCTTTTGGAAATTTTGAAAATTTTCGAAAATTTCCTGAACATAGGTATGAATTTAAAAAAATGTGAAATTTCAAAAAAGTTGAGATTGCTCTTGGGTATGATAGTAAAACTATTTGGGACCAATATTTAATATGTTAAAATTATCCAAATTAGACAAAAATTGGATATTAGGGAACAGTTTAAGCAAATGAAAATAAGCGTTATTTCGCATTTTTTGCACCTTTGATGGGGTGTGACGCAAATAAGGCCATGGCATCTAACCATTCTAGGGTTGTCCACCACTCACCTATGGCTACCAAATTTCCAAAGGACATCAAGAATCATAATTACAAGTGGAGGTCCTCTCCTCCTAAGAAAAAACTACTTGCACCTGTCGTAGCAATTTTGCTTCTCAACAGTTAATCACATGGTGTTGGGATATGTGAATCAATTAATTCCTACTAACTTTTTATACTACCAGGTGAATAGCATTGCTGTGAATCCATATCTATATATTGAGGAAGGAAAATTTGACCACATTCAGATATCTTGGTGGATGGATCATGTGAATTCTCCCGATATTCAGTTCCTACCGCAATTGTGTGACACAGATTCAGGGATGTGTACAAATTCTACATTGTGGGTTTCAGAATATTCCGCCTTGATTAATCCTACCACGATCCCAACAGAAATACTTCCATTCTGGAATTACGAGATATCAGTATTTGTGAAGATTGGCGACAAAATTTATCCCCATGCAATATCAAAAAAATTTAAAACGATCGGATCCGGTAAGAAAATACGATGCCAACTGTCCTCTCCTATCTTAATGCGTGCAACATAAAGGGTGTTGATTTAATTCGATCACACTTTGGAAATAATTCCCTGTTTTTTGTTCCTTGTTCGTTTGGAAATAATTCCTTGTTCTTTAGGCTAGCAAAGTATGTAGGCAACATTTTGTGCACATAATACTTGGCATTCATATTTTGTCCCTTTGGTATAATGTGAAGAGGTGTTACCCCACGCGGACAAAATCCACCGGCTACCATAACTTTCACCTCGTTTTTTTCATCCAAATGGTCACTTCTTCGGAGAATTTCACCAAATTTAAGACGGTCGTCGATGTTTTTTGGGACATTAGGGGTTCCTTGGTTAGCTTATAGGCGCGGCCACCCCATTTTGTGGACTTGACAAATTTGTGCACTGTAGTGAAGTCGATTTTCTTTGGTTTCAGTTTAAAGCGTTTTGAGTTATTTAATTCGGTGGCACAATTTCTCACTGAACTTCCTGTTTTCTGGTGAAGTCTGTGTTTAATCATTCTTTTTGTGATAGGGGAGAGCTTTGTGGGTTGTCTAGGTCGCTTTAGATCCTTGACAAAATTTCTGTTCTTCCATTTCCACACTGTTCTTCTGCTACATCCCAATTTTTCTGCAATGTCTATATCTTTTAATTTCTCCTTGCCCAAAGTTTGTATCTTAATTCGAAGATGTTCACGGGTTTCAAGTGTTTTCTGCCCACACATTATGAAAATTTCATCGAAAAATATTAACAGGTTGAAAGGTTACAGCTGAATTTGTCTCTGACGCGCGCGCGAATATCGATGTGATCAAATTAAATCAACACCCTTTCTATGCAAGCTATGTAAATTTAATGAAAAATGTGTCTACCCGGGTTTTACTTTACCCACCTCTTGAGCTTAATCTCCGGACCATTGGGTAAAATGAGAAAAATGGCAAAATGGGTGGGTACTGGGGAAAATGCTTCTGAAGGGTTACAGCAATGTGTCAGGCTTCAGAGTTGCCAATTCTCCATTTATTATTCTCCTCTGTTATTTAACAAAAAATATTTAACAAATCAGTTGAATTTGGATTTTGCAACAAATTAAATTTTAAATAATTTTAAATTTTCTATTTCCAATGAAATTATGTTTTAAATTGCCAGTTGATTGCATATTTTATTTATTACTGATAAATTACAACTGCCATTACTAAATTTGTATCATGCAACGAATTACTTTAGGTTAAATGTATCTCAACGTCGAAAGTGTCTAAGCTATTCAAAGTTTTATAATACAGAATATTGTACGGATTAATTGATTCAGTGTTAATTCACTAATCAAGTACATGGCAGACAATATTCGTTTAGCCCCATTCAAGTTTGTCGAATTTTTCTACTTCCCTAGAGCTTGTTTTGGGAGTGGAAAACCCCATTTTCCCCACCCCATTTTACCAAGATTATTTTCCGAGGTAAAACCCTCGTGTGTTCGCATCAAGATTGAACCACAAGATTGGACCACACTCACAGAAATTGGGAGATAATTGGGAGTTAGACCTATATGACTATACCGGATTGGTGATAAATTTCATCACCGCGGGTGACGAATTTATCTCCACCGATGATAAATATACCACTAGCGGTAAGGAGTTTATCACTAATCCGGTAAGGTCATATACGTCCAAATCTGGTGATAATCATTCCCCAATTTTTGTGAATTCAGCCAGCTCTACGGGGCTACCCTAAAATTCTTCAAATGCACGTTCTTTTGCTTAATAATAGAGCCTGGAATACCGTACAATCTGAAGATAAGGTCTGACGGATGGAGCGCTATATTGACATGGAGTCGACCAAGTTATATCAACGGCTACTTTGGTAGTTATGATGTAAAAATCACTCCTGATATACCACTCGGATTCTACTATCATGTTTCCAGTAATGCTACTGATAACCGCATAGAAATCCCAATGATAGATGAAATGTTTCAATCCGGAGTAAACTACTCATTTACGGTATGCTATTCTCCGTAGCTTTAACATCACACATGTATTTGGAAGATATATTGTGTTATAGGTATCAACATTAAGAAGAATTAATATGGGTGAATCTAAACATAGAAGCAAGTACTCATTGCCTGTGTACAGAACATTTCAAAACGTCTCTATGGTGCGGCCTGGATTTAAAATTATAGGTATACTGATCAGAAAAAATAAATTAAGTCAAATAAATGTTTAGCTTATCAATCATTTTTGAAATCGTAGAACTGACGGACACAACAATAGAACTAGAATGGGAATCAGAAGGGGATTCAGTTGAGTCTTATTTCGTGAAAGTTATAGCTGTAGAATATTCACAATTGTTTGAAAAAGCGGATTATACTAAGAAACATCTTCATGGCAAGTCCATGTTTACTTTTGCGTTGTTTATATTTATTATTTACATAATTTTATAATAATCCTGCTTTTCAGTATCCCGATTAAATCCTCAAACAATGTATAATATTTCGGTTACCTCGGTGTTTGATGGCGTTGCGGGGATAACCGTGTGGGAAGTAATAAAGACATTTGGTAAGCTTTTTAATCTACTTTATTTCTCGAATTTCAATTACTTGCCATGTTGGCTATTCTCTGTGACAATTTAAAAAACATCAGTGCAGCCTCATATAGCCTGAGTCAGATATGAAAATTTATAATTTCCTTTGATATTCCACATTGATACAAAGCTATGTAGTTTTATGGGGTGCGCATAAACTATGGTATCACGATTCTCACGCAGCGTATCATACCTGCGCGGGAATATACAAAATTCAAAACTAGATGCGTTCTATGCGTAATTTAACAGGGTACAAGGATCAGAAGACCAAATTAAGTTATCTCAATCGGCTGAGAAATGATAGCCAAAGAGCCACAACAACTTGAAAGTGTAATTTGCCACTCGTATAAAAATGCGTTGTTTCTTGAGGGGAAAAAAATTTGTAAACATTTTCTTGTCGAAGGAATGCACACTGCAACAATTAATCGTACATGGAATAAGGAAACGCTTATTTCAAAACATAATTTGGTCATGCTGCTAAGCTACCTAGGTAGAGTCGTCGTTAGTGGTGAGGAGCTTGGACAACGCATTACTAAAAACCCACACAATTCGAGACGCTTAACAGCAGCCAGGTTAGGATTATCAAAACGAGGTGCGCGGTATATTAATGCCAATAAGTTTGGCTTCAAGATAAATAAAGCAAAATTTGTCAAAAAATTTAAATTGGGACATAAGGTCATGCCAAAGCTAGGTGCCTGAAAATTTGTTAAAAAATGCTCGAGAAAAGTACAACTAGATTAACCGTTACGGACTACGAAACTAGTAACCTATGGATCCCGAAGGTGTTATTGCCGTGACATACAACTCATTAATTAAATAAAATAATACGCAAACAAATTATAAATTTAGACATAAGAGAAATTTCCCTAAAAATATCTGACTGGGCTTGCTCTGGATGAAAATGGAAGGGTTTCGTAATCATCCAAAATCACTAAGATATTGAGTTCTAAACTTTGCTTGAAGGTATGCATCATGAATAGCTTTATCCCCTGCATCAACAACAAAGGTTGGTTGTTGTGACTTGAAATGACGAGATCTCATTATAGTAAGTGTGACCGACTCTATTCGAACGAATAAAGTTGATTTTGCGGAAAAAAGCATAAATCTCTGGAATTGCTTCCAATGGAGCAATTTTTGGCATTAATCGAGAGAGAGTATTACAAAAATTGGTGGCTACAAAAACCACCGAAAAATCTTCTAGGATTTGCATAGGTGATGCCACAAATAATGAAAGGTGTGGCCGGTATGGGTTGCCCTATAGGGTACCCCTGATTATTGTTTTTTAATTTCACTTCTGATTTGCCTATTAGATACCAATTATTTACAACCTACACACCCAATTTTAGCTCGACTATGCGATTTCAAAAAAAGTTAGGGTCTCCCCATCGGTTCACTTCATATGAAAATTTTAGTTCGATTGGATGAGTTTGAAAAATTTTGAAAACTCGGTGTGGATCACTTAACAGGATCCCTACAGATAAAATATTTCATCCTTATTTCACTTTATATTCTTTCATTAGAATTCAATAACTACCTTCATGCCGAATTTCAGCTTCGTAGCACTATTTTGAAATTTTGGTGTATAATATTCCCACAGCCCTATATTACCCCCCACGGGTGAACCACTTGACCAATAGTGCCCATCTTCGAAACTAGTCTTTCATTTTTCATTCTTTAAGCGTGCGCCAAATTTCAACTCGATCGATTGAGTAGAACGGAAACAGACTTGTAGACAGATAGGCGACAGACCAAAGCGCTTCCATAAGCCCTGACTCGGGCTAAAACGTCATATATTTTGATGTTCTGATGATTTTTATTTAATTCAAACCCTAACATTTACAACTAAATTTCGTAATTTAGAAGTTGGATAATCATTACAGAATTTTGTCTAATGTAGGAAAGCGTCCAAATATGGTCGAAGGCTTCACGGCATCTTGTGTTGGGCCTACAACCGTCCGTTTTACTTGGTCTGCTGTTCCTGGTGTAACCATGTATCAACTATTTATTTGGAAGGACAATATGGAAAATCTCCTTCCAACTGGTACATTACTAATTTTGATATACTAAATCTTATCGGCACTATTCAAACAAATTAAACTACAATAATTGTACCTATTTAACAGAGATAATCGTGACTAATGGACATATTCTAGAAAACATGGAAAGTTGTTCAACGTATTACTTTAATATGGTCGAACTACAAGGAAAGGTTATGGGAACTCCGATTCCAACTCCACTTATTGTCACGACTGGATTTAACGCCAATTCGCCACCAAAATTTGTGAACGTTAATTTTAGACCCAACGACCCACACCAGTTGATTCTTAGCTGGGCAGCTCCGTGTCCAGTCCCTGATAAAAATTTAGATTACCAAGTTAGTAGAACATATAATTCAGATATTTTTCAACTGCTTTATTCTCGGACATATGATGAATTATGCAATAACTGCCACACTCTGAATTAACCTTAATTGTGAATACTCCAAATATAAAGCATGGGCAAGTTAGAAGTACTACACTTATCATAGAAATTTCATAATGTGATAGAAAACTAACGGAAGTACATTCACAATTTTTTACATATGTTCTCTAATATGTAGAGTACCCTCCATTGCAAGGTTCTTTTGGCTACCAAGGGGAAGGTAGGGATGTTTTCCCCAGTTTTGGCCTTTTATATAGTTTTGCACTGTTCTACGACCTTCAGTCCTACCCTTGTGTTGGTACCGTTTTGACTCGTTTAACTTCTTCACCACTTTTCGTACAGAACCAGCACATTATTCTTTCAATTTTCTTCTGATTTGTGTTTGAGGTGTATGTACGTGACAACTTGTTGGCCATGTTGGACCTGCTTGAATTGGAGAATTGACCCACTACAGAATGGTATTCGTACATACTTCTATTTTCGGCCCATTAATTCCTCTTCAGCATAGTCTCTAAGTCGAGGAAAAAAATAATTAGTTTGATTGGTTGAGTAGAAATTATTTTATTAACATTTTTGTAAACAAAAACAGGTGTAGTTCTTATAACTGGCCCACTCTTTACTATCTGGCATAACGTCGTACTAATTCTATAAAGACCGAAGTGCAGTCGATAGTTAATTTTAAAAAGACCGAAGTGCAGCCGATGATTAATTTTAAAAAGACCGAACTACAGAAAAAAAATTCTAAAAAGACCTAAGTGCAAGCATGTATTTACTTATGGCTATATCTTGCCAAAACGATTCTTCACATATCGCGCGATTTAGCCATAAGTAAATACATGCTTGCACTTAGGTCTTTTTAGAATTTTTTTTCTGTAGTTCGGTCTTTTTAAAATTAAGCATCGACTGCACTTCGGTCTTTTTAAAATTAACTATCGACTGCACTTCGGTCTTTATAGAATTAGTACGACGATAAGTAAAGTAAATTGTTTGGAGGTATTGCTAGACAGGGTAGAAAACGGCTATGGTCTGAATTTTATAATTAGTTCCTTTTTTGTACGTATTACTTATGGCGAGCGGGGACTAATTATAAAATATGGACGATACCTAACTCTAATATACCATAGATAGGTCTGTTTCAATTCATTATACTGATCTATGTTAAAGCACAATCCCTTTAAAAAAATCTTGCTGGATGATACATCTATGAAGCTACGCCACTCAGCTTACCTAATTGAAAATGATTCAAATTTCTTATTACAAGCTTCCATTTGAAGCTATTGGTACTTTGAATCAATTATCCGCTGTCCATGACTGTTTCAAAATTTTACACTGCTAACCTGTATCACCCTCACCGGCCAATACCTCCCCAATTTTGTTCACGCTTGGACTAATTGAACTCATCAATCCTACCTCAATATGGATGAATCATACATATGTATGTATGTATGGTGACCACTTCAAGTCAATCAGTCAATCTGATTTGGCTCAATTATGCAGGAAGGTCGAAGCTACGGTCTTGTTGTACCATAACGCCTGCATTACGCTGAAAACTATCAAGCAATACCATGATAACTTTATCTTAATAACCTTACTTGCAGAATAAGTACAATTCAATAAAGAAATCTAAGAAATTTGAATTCTTGGTTTCTTTTTTCGTGGTTTTCGCTGCGGGTAGCGGGTACGGGTACCCGTGCGGGTAGCGGGTAATGAATTCGCTACCCGCGGCAACCCTAACCCTAATACAAAGTCAAATTACAGACTCTATTATACCAAACCTTATGTCGGGCTCCGCAAAGCTGTACTGAAAGGTTTTGTATATCGCGTAGGCATCCTCCAGAATAATTTTATATTGAATTCTGATCGGATAGCTTGCTTAATCAGATTTGTCGAGAATTTTGGCCATTTGGAAGTATTTGAAGTAAACTTCAATTTTAAAATACGTTTACCATAACATTATCGTAAACGTAAAAATACAGGCCTCTTTAATTAAATCAGTATTAGTCTCATCAATATATGTGATTATGTAATTCTTTAATGTTATAATGCTTATGCTTCATTGTTTTGCTTCGTGACCACAAATAGGGTGTGGTTTGCGTTCACGCTACAATAGCTTGAGCCCCACCTACCTGCATTCTATATTATTCGCAACATTTATTAGAACTCTGGTTGATTCCACTAGACGCAGAGTAAGTGTAACTTATTCTTTATTTCTGTAGATTTACCTCACTGATAAACTCTCAGAGGTCTCACACAACTTTGTCGTTCATGGCGGAATCGAGGAACGTCTGTGGTTCGACATACCTAAGAGCTACGGATCCAGTTATTCGTACGTAAACATTTTCTATTTATTTCTTAGCAAATTAACCTACTTCTAACAGGAAAAGAGGAGATTTTTTTAAATTTGCTACTATACTATACGTGCTTGCATGATAAGCTAGACTAACTACATCATCTTGGAGGAAGGAGTATAGATGATTAAAAAGAATTGGAATAAAAATTCATGCATGGTGAGGAATAATTAACAGGTCTAGATGACAAATTTTGACGTACTGTTCAAATTTATGACTAATAGCCAAAATATATCTTACACAATTACTACATACATACCTCTAACAAAATTCAGTTTAGTTCGCTAGTTAGGCAAAAGCTTTTCGTCAAAATTTTTACGGAATCTTCAAAAAAAAAAGATTTTCATTGCACTAATAATATTTAATTCTCAGCAACAATGGTGCGGAACAATTTGACGGGTTGTTATTATAATTATATTGTAAATCAAAAACTAGACTAATAATGCAGACCTGCTCGGAAGATGGTTGTTCGCCTTACACTACCCCATTAAATATTGACGATCCTGTCATCCCATATTTTGAGGACATTCATCAAGAAGAGGATATCTACAATATTATCATAAGATTCACACCCCCGATTCTACCACCACTAGTAGTAAAAAGGGGAAGGTATGTAACCAAATCGTAATAAATATCATTCTACGGCAACTTTTAACATGTGAGCAGACGGCATATCACAGTTTTGTTTTCAGCATTAAATTTGCAATATTGGGTGAATAAGATCTTTGCATACTTCAGTCTGAGCCCTAACTATGGGCTTCTGGACTTGTCATTTCTGTCTGCCCGTGACATGCTAGAGCGCAATGTGTTAACGTAATGGTTGGAAAACCCGTATATTCAAATTATTATTTTTTTCTCAATATTTTTCCATCTTTCATGATTTATTTTATGACCCAAAATATATACCATACAAATTGTGGACGGCCAATACCCTAGGGGTGGAACAGCCTCGCTTGTAGTGGTGTGACTCAAAATTTGATTTTCGATTTCGATTTGCAATTGATAGATTGCAAATTGTAATGCTATTCAGAATTCATATATCTATCCCCTCCATCAATTACAGCGGTTAAAAGTTATATACCTGTAAACATCAATATTTTCCGTCTTGCGCCATGTTTCGACCTCATTTGAGTGATTGGATATGGTGTATGAAGTAGTCTATACTGGGGTATCATCGTAGAAACGAAAATTCCCGGGGTCGAGTCTAGGTCGTAATGAGAGAATATGAAATGAAGTTTGAAAAAATGGGCATATAGACGACCCTTTCATAATCCTCAAATTGAGCTGAACTTCGGTTGAAGATTTTTCTAGAATTGACATTACAGACTACGAAGTAAAAATGTTTTAACCAGAATGGCTTACCCTCATTGATTTTCTTTAGGTGAGGCAAAGCCGGACCCCGTCTCAAAAAGCAAATACGGGTATACGAAAGTTGAGCTTGGCGAAGCAACGGAATCTCATTTTTTGTAGACAAGCCTTTGCCATGTTATACTGTTTTCGAAACAACGGTTTTTCGCTGTCTAGTTTAAAAACCCAAGCTAAAAAGTATAGAAGCAAGAATTTCATCTCAAAGAATTAAATTAAATAAGTCCCCTACCTGCGCATTAAAAAGTTATTAAAGCTCAAAGTTGTTTTTTTTAGAAAACACATATGTGTAAGTCTCTCTTTCCTCAAAAAATCTATGGGCGTACTCACGACAACTTCTTATTTCGCATCGCAACTCATGTAGCAAACTTGCGAAGATCAAAATATTTCTGTCGTGAGAGGTTTCGTAAAATATGACTTCGCAAATCGCAAAACGCCAATTTTGTTATTGTTTCCATGGATTTCTTGAAGTTCTTGCTGGTGATGGTGAGGAAGAGTTTGCGAAGTAAATTTGCAAAATAAGAACATGCCCAATTGCTGGGTAAATTTGCGAAAAAAAATCCCATGGTTTTCCAGCAAAAGTTTTGCGAAATCTCGCATATCTCGCAAAACTTCGTAAGTTATGTTGCTATGCTCAATTGGCGAGATATGCGAGATATGCGAAGGTTGACGTGAGTACGCTCTATGTTTCTGTCCGCCACTGGATCACGTAACAATATTGCTCAAATATTATTCAAAGCATTAGTATTCAAATACTAAAATTCGGCAATATATATAATAAATATTTACTTACCTATTCAATTTAGACCCGTGTACAAAATCTGGTTCTCCAAGGATCCAACTTTCCAAGAACCAAGTTCGATTAAAGAGTTCGTTGTCAACAGGAGTCCATTTCGAAGTTCAAAAAAGAATTTCAACGAAGGTGTCTGGTTCGCAACACTTATTGTTGAGGTGAATAAAATATACAAGTCCCCGCCTGCCTTCGTAGTTCGACTTGATACCGAGCAAAATATAAGTGTAAATCTCCTTGAAGATTTATTATTATTTAAACCAGAAGGATTTTTCTGAAGCGTTTGTAAATTATAAGCGGACTGATGGAAAAGAAATACTAATTACCAGATACATATCTTGCCTTACCCTTAAGTTACCGTTCTTGTTAGGCATAAACTAATTTAAGTAATTGGGTATGAAATATTGTTTAGCAGGAAACGCCTAACAAAAATAAGTACATTTTTGTAAATTTTGTAATTTTGTAATCCGACAACTTCATTTGGAACGATTGAGTAAATAAGCAGCCATACCAGTTTGGAATTTAAACTGTAGAATAAATTAAACATCTAAATATATTTGTGCTACGTAAAATTTAAAAAAATGGTAAAATTTAGAATTGATTAATAAAGCCAAATGTTAAGTCATTTACCTAAATCGATAATTATTCTATAATAATTATAATTCATAATTTCTAGTAATCTTAAGTAGACATAAATATACTAAATTCTACAAGGCCCATTGGAAATATGGTAACAACAAATTATTTGTTTCCAAAATTTAATAAACTTGCATCAAATTATCATTGTCCTCTAAATTTAATTGAACAATAGTCGCAAAATGAGTTCTAAGTTGTAGCCAAATGTCTTGTCATCTCTTCAAAGTATGGCATCCATTTCACATCCCGTTGACGTAAAATAATGCAAATCATTAATTGATACGACAAAACGTATACAGTTTTACCCGTCAAAGTTAAAAATTGTGGAATATTACGGAACAATTAATTTGCTGAATCAATGATCCTTTAATTTCTAAAATCAATGGTGCAAAATACACCAGGGAAGAGAAACCATGATTTTGACATAAAACCTTAAAAAATTTGACGTCAAAACCATAAGTGTTTCTGACGGTTCTTCTGCACTTTTTGTGCGTTTTTCACCTATTCCATCAATTGTTTGGCACCTTTTTGAGTCGCCGCTTGTTCGATACCAGTGGTGCTATTAAGTCTGTTACGAACGTGAATAAGTCGCAGTAATTAGCATCAATTGATGCAAAAGAGTCGTTAACAGACAGACGGACAGACAGACAGACAGACGGACGGACAAGAGGAATTCAATAGCTCCTATGCTACGCAGGGCGAGCTAATAAACCGTTGTAACGGTGGAAGTAGCTCACCCTGTAATAACCATTTTGCTATAATTTTATACCAATGATACAGAATATGCGGAAAAAATGAATACGCAATTTTGGCAAAATTTTACATTAATGGTGCAGAATATGCGGAACAAAGATATATGTAATTGGGATATAATTTTGCACCATTGCAATGGTGCAAAATACACCAGGGAAGAGAAACCCTGATTTTGACATAAAACCTTAAAAAATTTGACGTCAAAACCATAGGTGTTTCTGACGGTTCTTCAGCACTTTAGGTGCGTTTTTCACCTATTCCATCAATTGTTTGGCACCATTTTGAGTCGCCGCTTGTTCGATACCAGTGATGCTATTAAGTCTGTCACGAACGTGAATAAGTCGCACTAATTAGCATCAATTGATGCAAAAGAGTCGTTAACAGACAGACAGACGGACAGACAGACGGACAAACGGACAGACAGACGGACGGACAAGAGGAATTCAATAGCTCCTCTGCTGCGCAGGGTGAGCTAATAAATAAGGTAAAGTTGGAAAAAGTTACCGGCGACCACTTTTCTGGGTCCAAAACCCCAAGGTTTGACTACCCCTCGTTTTATCGTTCGGGGGGACATATCTTTAAAACTGAACCGAATCTGCAGAAATGCATGAGGGAAAAAATGAAGCCACTTGCATTATATACGAAGAAATTAATAAATGAACTCATGAAAATGTAATTAAAGGAAAAATTTAGCCCAGGTGCTAAAATATTCCCGAAAAATGTCCAGATTTTTCTAGTTTTTTATTTTTTATCGCACCTTACTCGTCGATATCGGTCCAACTATTAACTGGATTAGAAACTTGTAACATGTGAGCATAACATATACAAAGCCGCTGGTGAAGTGTGTCATAGTTATTTTGCTAAAAATAACAGAAACTTGCATGATATGATAAATTTGTGGTTTTAAATGGTTCGAAACCTTGGCGTTGTCCAATCCATGTCCAGCTATGCCAGGAATGTTGGGCCATTTATTCTAAATATTATAATTTAAAAATATTGGGTAGGGTGTGTCACGGTTTGTTTTCGCTAAAAATCATCGAAATTTGCAAGATTTGAGAAATCTTGAAAAAAACTCAATTTTAATTGTTTTTTACCATGTGTTAAGGTCATTTAACTGCATTTTAAGAAAATCTCAAAATTTTGACAAAAACTAAAACAATCAATATTTTGAAAAACTTTATAGGATACGAAAGTTGAACTCTTTTTCATGATTTTTGGAATTTTTTTTGAAAATCCGCCCAGGATTTCAAAAGTTATGGAGGTTTTAAAAATAAAAACCTACAAATTTGGCGAATTTGGCGCCACGCCACGGCACCAAATATGAGTTTTACACGGAAATACGAATCGATCCTTCAGTTAAGGTCCTAGTAGATTCTAAAAAACATAGTGGGTACGCTGGACACGAACGACAGGTCGTGAGTGTCCCTTGTCAGAAGTGCGTAAGATCTCTAGTCTAAAATTTTGTATATGTGAAGCCCAGAAAGATTGTGGTCGAATGCAGTTCCTATTTTTAAAAATTGTCAGAAATGTCAATGGTCACAATTTTTCACCAAGAAACTCATTGTTCACCTACCATTAAATTTTTTTCCTTTGTGGCTTTATTTTGGTCCCGATAGACCAACTCATCCTGCAAATTTTGATAATTTGTTCACCTCCCTTCGATTTATTTGAATAAAGTAATGAGTTTTAGAATAAAGTGAATTTGGGAAATTTTAACACTGCTTTTATGGGAGAATTTTGTAAAATCGTTAAAATGCACCTAATTGAAAAATTCATTACTTTGTTCAACAAAATAGTACAGAGGTGAACAAAGTACCAAAATGTGTAGGAGGAGTTGCGGTCTATCGAGATAAATCTTAAGAACATTTGACTCAAATGATTTGAGATAAACACTCGGACGTTCAATTTTGTCCGACGCTGTAAAATGACCATGCAATGACCATGCAATGAACTGACGCTGCTCTTTTAACGAATTTTTTTACATAGTCTGTTATGTTGATTTTTTCAAGGTTGACAATTTCCAGTTTTTAAGATAACAAAATAACTTTTTGAGTACGAGATTTCATTCGAGATTTTAAGCTTTTTGGAAAACTGGGAAAATTGTCATCTTGCAGGCGCGAAGCATGGAAATGTTAAGTGCGACTACGTTAAAAACTGAAATTTCCTAATCTATTTGAAATTTGAAAAAAGGTATAAATATTAAGTAAACAATGAGGGTATTCATTACGAATTCGCATATTCGCATTACAGCGTAACTTTTTTCGAAATTGCGAATTTTGTGAATCAATGATGTCAAGGTACTTCGCAAATGACAAAGTTTCTCTGAAGTTTCACGTCAGAAAAATTTATAAATCTCCATTAAGTTGCATTCGTCTCCAGTAAAGTTTTGCTTCTGAAATTTGTCAAGGAAATTTATAAGGAATTTCAAATATCAAAATTTCAAAAGGAAAAATTTCGGTAACTAATGAAGATTTACAAATTATCCTATTGCAAAATTATCCATATGTGTGAAAAATGTTGCTAACGATGCCAACTCGAAATGAATACCCTCAGTATAGGTACATAAAATAGAACAGCATGGTCATTTAAAATGAATTATGCATAACTATTTATTTCCAAATTTTGAATACCTGCATAATGAATGAATCATTTTTTCCAAATTTTAAACTGAATCAATTTTGAATGAGGAAATATTTTTGAACAGGCTCGGGTACAAGAAGACTACTGGTCAACTGTATCAAACAAATATAAGAAATGCAAAACGTCTACCTCAGCGTTTAACAGATTTATGAAGTCCTCATTCGGCATTAGTCCCCGTTCTGGAGCGGTGCGCCGGGCCCGGGCCGATATTTCCAGGGGCCTCATATACTATAACGTTATGACTTGTAATTGCGAACATTGCGTGACTTGGTGGGTTTATGGGAAAGCTTGGCGTATTCAGGCAGTTGGAACGAGCCGAAGTTGTCCGATATAATAATAATATTTAATATATTAAGAGTGTACATATCAGTTCATGGATTTTTAACACTCGAATTTATTAATTTGACATATATAGGTACGAAGTTTAAATGAACATCTAAACATATAATTTCGATACGAGCAAGGTGCAGCTTTTGCGTATAAATGAAACTTAAATTTAGAACAATTACATGATTAGAATATATGTACACGATCAAATGATGATTTTTTCGCGCTCTAACGATTTTGCTGCATGATGGCTTAAAAGTTGCGTAATTTTGTGTAAATGAATAATCCGTAATAATATTGGGGGGGCCCATTGATGGTTTTTGCGCTAGAAACCAAAATGTGCGAATTTTTTGCGAATTTTGGGAAATTTCATTTTTGGCTCAAAATCGCATATATTCGACCAAATATCAGTGGAAATAATTTAGAAAATTATTTTGGACCAGAATTTGGCCACTGCCTCGAATTCGGGCCCCCTTTTTCCAATTTGCAGGATTTTGCAAAATAATTGCAATTCTCGTATCAATTGGAACACGATCGAAATATGGAATTTATTAAACGTTATTAAGGCATTGTTGAATGATAGCCGCAATTACTGAATTACTGAAAATATGTTTAGCCAATTATATGTGACTATATGATTTAACTGTTAGTTACACTGCGCTTGCACTTGAAAATCTCAATTTGAAATGAATAAGAAGCTTGATTTGAATCAGGCATACAGTTGCGTTAGCTCTAAGATCCGCATGTTGCACAAGTACATTTACTAATTTGCTAGAACTTTCAGAAATTGTTTGGTTTTATTGACATAATCTCTTGGATTTGACGTGATAATCAAGATGAGCTGCTTTCAATTCGAGCATGCATTACCTGATGACGACCTTTGCTAATAATTTTAAATTTTGTTAACCACTCGAACGTTGTTAATAAGTCATAAGACCAATGAATTAATATTTGGCCACTGCCTTGAATTCAAATACCCTCGTGACCAATTCTAGTCAAAAATGTTTTAAGGTTCCGCTTGAGCCAGATACAACTAATTGAGCTAATATCAATTTTTATGATACAACGGATTCATTAGATAAATTGTTACTAAATCGTGTTAATCACGGTAATACTTAACATACATGAATCTTGGCATGTATAATTTAACTTCATGACCTTAATTAATGGAACTCATCTAATCAACCCTGATAATGGCAATGCAGTTAAAATATATTATTTTATTGAGAAGTTTGTTTATAATTCAAAAAGTTGCTAATAATTCTAAAGGTTGTTAATAATGCGCCGACTTGTTTAAACAACTAATAGTTTATTTGAATGAAATATCTCCCCGTTTGTTGGAAATAAATCAATCAAATCTCTTGACTCCTTAAGCGACATTTGGTCACTACTATTTGTTTTACACATTATTCACAATCTATGAATACACACATTTCATGCATTTTTAAAAATCAGGATGGAACTATTACTAAAGTAATGAAGTAAATAATGACCCATCTTAGAATCGTTTTAAGTTCTCGGGATTAATTTAAGCCTGACGTCGGTCCCTACCTTATATCCAAGCATGTCTTTCTCCATCCTCGCAGGCACTGGGGTCCCAGAGGACGGTCTGATTTCAAAATTCCTCACAATGTGGGCCAAAGCTACTTTCGTCTCCACCAAGGCAAATCGCATCCCTACAAAAATAATCAATCAAAATTTGTAGAGATAGTACTAATAAAATATTAGCAATAATTTTTGCCAATTATTTTTAGCTAACGATTTGAAATAGACACTTTCAATATTTCTTAAAGCCATTCTAAAATTATTATCCGCATGTCAGTATTTAAACCAATTGTGCCTCGAATTGTGCTACTGAGATTTCAAATCATTCTCTAATGACTAAAACATATCGCGACAATTCACACATTCATTTCGCAACTTTAAAAAATTCACACATGTTGCAGAATACTTTTAGAAACTTAGTACAAAATGCAAAAACTACTTTCATCTAATCCTATCTAAACTTTGAAAAATCTATAGGTTAACTTTCTTTATATATTTGTAAATTTTAAAGGTCTTACAAAGTTACTAAATTCCGCGCAAATTGTCTAATCGTTGGTCACACAAATTCATACATACCGATACAATTTCTTGGTCCGATTCCGAACGCCATGTACACATAGGGGCTCCTTTTCGCCTTATTTTCCTTATTGAATCGGGCCGGGTCAAATTTGAAGGGATCTGGATAGAACTGCTCGTCTTTGTGGAACGCATCGGCTGATATGGCTATCGTAGTTCCCTTTCGAATTATTCTCGCTTTCCCGTCATTTCTTACTTCCGGTAATGGAGTGTCCGCCGTGGCCACGCGGTTAATCCTCGCTACCGTTGGATAGAGGCGGAGAACCTCTGGCAAATTGAATAGTAAACATTAATTGATATTCACGTTCGCAAATTTTGAAAAGTTTCATACCTAATTTCAAAATAATTTGAGACAGCTTTGTTAACGATTTAGAACTTTCTGGGGGGGGGGGGGTTCAACCCCCCCACCCCAAAGCATGCAAATTAGCCTAATTTGGTCGTTGTTACATAATGGTTTAAGCAACTGGTTGTCAAAAATAGCTAAAGGTTTAAAATAATCTGAAAATTAATTTTCCCTACCCATCCAACAATTCCAGCTATACTTGCACACAAATTTGAAAATTTTGTACCGAAACTAGGGACAAAAATACAATAAAAAACCGATTTTATCAATCTATCTAATAATTAATACGAGCGGTAACGTTTACAAAAGAAATTCAAAATTGGGTTGAACTAGATACAAAACGTCAGAAACATTAATTTTCCCTATTTCTCCAATAACTCAATAAATGTACATTAAGAAAAATTTGAAAATTAGGCGAGACTAGGTAGGAAACTTCCTAAGCAGTTCATTTTCTCATCCTACCCAACTTTACGTTTGCAAAAAATTTGGCTACACTAGGTATAAAATTTTTCGGAAACTAAACTTTCTCACATCTCCAAAAATAGAACCCGGAAAACCTTACGTGTCACAAACATATCCAGATACTCGACCTCGTTAATTTCTTCGTACGATATCTCATCCCCACAATTTTCCACCACCGCACGATACACCTTCTCCTGAACGTCCGGATGCGTCGCAAGAACGTAACACGATACCGACAAATTGTTACATGTGCAAAATTAATTATTGCAATTAAATTATTACCAATTATTGCCAGAATTGATATGAATGAATGCCAATATTTTTCTAAAGATTGTGTCCTTTTTGTAAATTGTGTATGTATGAATATGTTTGTCACATAAAGATTTATGCCCAGCGTAATATCACAAAAAATTTCCTATAAATAGCTCGAAAATACCCACAAAAATTCTTATCAAAATTTCTCTACCCTTTCGTCACTAGTGGCTAAACATTTTATGGATACAAAGAAACTCTGAGTTTACTTTGCTGGGAGACAGTGATTATTAATAAATTAAGCTGGCATGACTTCCGTGCCGATAACTTGTCTCATACCAACAGCTCTTATAAAAAATATATGGGTTTAATGAATGGCGAAGTTTTGGTAGTTTTAGGTTGAACAAGCGACAAAACGGATAATTGAGTGAGGCATAATTAGTCCAAGTCAAGGGTACAGTAAGTCATGAATTGGTGCGAAGCCAATTTAGCCCAGCCCATTAGCACAAGTTTCCTATCAAGCTCAATGTAATTAATGGGATTATCCAATCTGGGTAAATTTCTCTGACGATAATTTTTCGTATGGTTTCCAATTATTTTGTTATTCGGTCGTTTAAGAATTATTGATATCAATCTATCACAGATAACCTATTTGCATGCAGACGACAATTATGTATTTTTATTCAGAATTAATAAGCTTAAGAAAGATATTTATTGTTTGACCTTTTTGTGAAGGAAATACTGACAAATTTGTCCTAATCCAGTAATTCAAGTAATTATGCAATTATTTCAATTTTCACGATATCGTTAAATATTCTGATCCGATTCAATGCAAAATTTCTTTCCAGCACGTCAACCTTCATGACAAAAAAAGTTGGGAAACAATTCTTGAAATAATCTTTCCTGGGCGTAATTCTAATTTTTCCGAAAATAACTTATTGTTGTATGGTAGTACCATACAACAAAATTATCTACTTCAAGCCCATAAATTGGTAAATATTGAGATGCCAGTTACCTAGAGTGTAGTTTATAAATACTTTACAATTTTATTTATCGATTAATATTTTGTGCTTTATTTATTTGCCTCGATTAATTTGAGATTTACAACTAAATTACACTATTTGACGTTTACATTAGTTCTGTAACAGCAATTTTGTTTTATTAATTTCAAAATCTTTAATTAGTGAAAACGGTGCCTGAACGGACATACGAAACTACCTGGGGGGCAGACAATCAGACTGAAAATGGACGGAGAAATTTCCGCACGTCCAACCTTATAATCATAACACATGGATGGAGAAGCGATTCTCTACAAGAGCTTCCTCACCAGACAGCTCAAGGTGTCATAATTTATATAAAAATGTGTCAACTTTTCGAGTTCTAACCTAATTAAATTTATTTATTCGATATTAATATCATTGTTAATATGAATACGCAGCCCTTTTTGGAATTGAAGGGCTAAAGAAGGCAAATCAACGCGCTGCTGTCATAACTGTGGACTGGTCGTCGATGGGATATGGTGGATCATTCCGAAACATCTGGAGTCCATATGAGCCATCATGAGCTATTTACCAAAATCGTAGGAGAAGCCGTTGTGAATTTCATTCGTAAACTAGCAGTTTGGATATCCATTCACCCAGAACGCATGCACTTTATTGGGCACAGCTTAGGATCAATTGTGCTGTCGTTTGTATGCAAGGAACTTGGTACGTGGGCTCCCCCACGGGCTCCCCCGTCAAGTTAATCACTTGACGGGTATGAACATAAAATTCGAATTAGATATACATACATATGTATAGGATTTAATGTTCTTTTTTAGCTCTAGACTCAGCACTTATTACTCGTCCCGACGTGCTTACTCTATTTAATTATAGAGCTAGAATGAGCGACGCAAGACATGTCGACGCCATCCAAACATCATCATTATCTGCGGATGTTGAGCATACAATTGGACATGTGAACATTTTTGTAAATCAAGGATACGACCAACTGGTTGTTGGACTATAGGACGATCTGTTGCTAACGTAGTAGGACATTGGGTAAATTCATTAAGTATGTAATGCAATACAAATATCATAACGAAGAAAAAAAGTATGCCAATTTCAAATCAAAAATCTATCGATTTAGGTAATTTTGGGAGTGTTATTTGTGATCACTCCAGAGCGAATGAACTGTGCAAAGATGCAATACTGGGCAAGAAATTCCAGGCCGTAAAATGCATAGCTTATTCTGGAATAGGAAAAAAATGTCATTTAATTCCAAACCAAACAGTTCGCGTAGGACCTCTTATTTTTGACGACTTACAAGGGACACTCACGACCTGTCGTTCGTGTCCAGGGTACCCACTATGCTTTTTAGAATCTACTAGGACCCTAAATGAAGGATCCATTCTTATTTCCGTGTAAAACTCATATTTGGCGCCGAGGCGTGGCGCCAAATTCGCCAAATTTTTAGGTTTTTATTTTTAAAACCGCCATAACTTTTGAAATCCATGGTGGATTTTCAAATAAATTTCCAAACATCATGAAAAATAGTTCAACTTTAGTATGCAATCAAGTTTTTCAAAATATTAATTGTTTCAATTTTTGTCAAAATTTTGAGATTTTTTTTACACGTGGAAATTCGGCGAAAAATACTTTGAAATGCCCAAAAAATAAAAAATTTTCATTTTTTATGAATTTCTTCAAATCTTGACCTTTGTGATCATTTTAAGTCCAAAATTTTGAAAATCCCACAGAAACTGCAAAAGTTATGGAGGTTTGAAAATGGTCGCAAACGCAGATTTTTAAGTTTGGCGCCACGCCACGGCGCCAAATATAAGTTTTACACGGAAATAAGAATGGATCCTTCATTTAGGGTCCTAGTAGATTCTAAAAAACATAGTGGGTACCCTGGACACGAACGACAGGTCGTGAGTGTCCCTTGTTAGATGATAGGTGAGTGGTTAAAAAATAGTGGTATGTATTATTCCATAAAAATCAAAAATCATTTTTTTTAAGAACAATAAGCGAGGATTTCTTGTACGGAACGTATCAAGTCAATACAACTCGAGATGACAAGGCTTCATGGATCCAATGTTATAATTTTTGAACGCGTAGTAATATTAGAAATTTATTGTTTCACTTTGCTATCGGATTCAAATTATTCTTGCATCAAATAGCTAAATTAAAAGAATAACGGTATAATTACTAATTTTACTAAAATTATTTTAGTATCCTATTTATGTATAAAAAGAATTACAATTTAATTTAATTAATGATAGTTAATTCGATAAGTAGCAAGCATGCCAATAAACCTGTCTCACTTAATTTGCGAACTATATTAAGATTTTTACCCAGTGAATGCAAAAGGGCAGCCTTTTTGCTATTTTGTTTATGCCTCTTTACCCTCGTGATGCCTATTTTCCCGGTTGAATTCCTATAACATTGGAATACAAAAATTCCAGAGTTTCGACATATTTTGAAATCTAAGGCAATATTCGGGTTTATCACAAAATTCTGAGAATTTTTATGGGTGACCTGAGGAAAATCGTACAATATTTCAAATTCTCTATGTCCTAACATGTAGTACATACTTTTTTTGTATTTTGGTCGAGCTGCACATGAAAATGGTCAGAATTTGATAGAGATGAAAAAATTTTACTGTCTGTTGTCTAAAATTTGATTTAGAGAAAATTGTTGCATAATGCCCCACTTTGAACATTTCTGCCCCGCATGAAGTGATTTACCAAAGCTTACAATAACAAAACTACATATCATCAAATTTACGAAAAATAAAAAAAAATCAAATTTACGAGAATCAAAATCCTTACATTCTATAATGTCGTTTCATTTTGCTCGCAAACACATTATGAAGTTTAATTACTAATTAAAATTAAATAGAATATCGTAACAACATTCACAATAATTTTTGCTTTTGTGGAAAATAATAAATAAAATCTACATCAAAAACCTACAGTGCAAGCTCCATATAGCCCAAGTTAGGCCTCTACTTGTGGTCATCGATCTATTTGACTATTTTGCATCAAATCTTTCTTATTGCAACTCGTTTTATTGGATAAAAAGCCATCAGCAACATTTGTACCAAATTTCGGCTCATTTAAACGATTTTCAAATATAGGTATGTATGGATAATCCCATAGGGTCCCATTTGGTAAAAAATTTACCATTTTTCCTTCGTATTCTCCTAGTAGAAGCCTTTCGCAGCTACATACCTTATCAGTCATTTTTCCCGTCCAAAACTCTGTTTTCCCATGGGAAGCGGGAAAAAGCGGGAAATATGGGAAAAAGTGATTTTTACCGTCCAAAATAGAAAAACATGGCTTCCCATGTATTTAGTTATGGGGGAAGCTAACTTTTTTAACCAATATTTTGTGACTAGACTTCATATTCGTCATCTCCATGAGATTCTGAAAATTTTGATATGTAATACGGAAAATTTTAAACAGTTTTGATTGTTTCACCCATTTTCCTATGCAAATACATGGGAATTCAAAAAAAATTAACAATAACCCGAATTACACTGTATTAACCAGCTAATTTTCTGAAAATTTAATGGAGAGTACGATTCTGAATTTAGATTTTGTAAATTTTAATTTGGGCAGAAATTGTTTCTTACCGCCCCCAAAACGGAGTTTTCCCCACTGTTTCTGTTTCTCCCATTTCCCACCTATTTTTGGTAACAAGGGTTTTATTCCCACCGTCCTGTGAAATTTTTTTTTTTTTCCAAACGCAAGCTATGTAAGTGACAATAGACTAAACAATTAGCATTGACAATTCGTCGAGCTACATATAGTAATCGGATTTTTAACTCGTTTATAATTTATCCACCTTAAATTTCTTAACGCGACGGGCAAAAAGTTACAGCAATAAACTAATTTTTCAATTAAACATATTCTAATCGTAGCATAGACTTTGTGTACTTAAAAACCGTACCAGTCAATTGTTCATCCATTATTACCACCTTGAATTTTCTGTTTCGACATAAACTGGGTTAAATAATCTTTTGCGTAAAGCAGTAACTAAATATATACGATAACTTTCTGAAATATGGGTATGTATTCTACAACTAGTTGTAGTTGCTCATAAAAACCGTATTCTCTAGAATACGGTTTTTTACAATATTTTTTTAACAAAAGTTGTATACAAAAAATTCGTTGGCTGGTAATTTGCCAAATATCGGGGAATTAAAAATAAACGTGTCGATAGATTAGGGATTAATTTATTTAAAGCTTTCTTAGAATGACAGGATTGGGATTACTTTGGCTTCTCGGCTAAGGTGGATTATTACATGAAATGAATACATTTTGACCAGGACTTTCCGTTACCTATTTTATGAAATATTTCATAAAATAGGTAACAAAACTATTCAATTGTAAAAAGTCAATTTTAAAAACTAACCAAATCCATATATCAATTAAACAGTGTAAACAGTGTACGTCACTCGATTATGTAGTTGGACAGAAAAGCTCGTTACATATTATGCATTTCAACCCTTTCCGTCAGACTCATTGTTCTAAATGAACAATGCGTTTTAACGACATCCGCTCATTTCCACATTTTCTCAATTCTTCTGCCCTCCTCAATCTCGTCATCCTCAGTAAATTCCAATCTGTGCATCGCGATCCTTCTAAAATGCTTCCCATCCTTCCCGCGTTCTTCCTGTGTCTCGCCATCCTTGCCGAATCGTCTCACGCTACCCAACGACACGACATTTTGATGAAGTTCCGCTTCGAAATTCAGTAACAAAAATAATAATAAGACTGCACTCTTAAAAATATTGTTACCCTTACATAGTAAACTTTGCTGTTGATCAAGTTGCCGTCACTTTCAGCAATTTTTTTACATAGTAAAGAATAAGGAGTAGAATTCGCATTTATGTAAAATAAAAAGAGTACCATTATCTTTAACGTAGGATTATATGACTCATCGCAAAGTTGTAAAAATCAACCCAGCTTTTAATCATTTCACAGGCCTCGGAATTTATTTCAAAATTCATGTCTGTAAATTAGTACTCAAGAAGTTGAATCCGGCTCAAATGAATTTTTTGAACCAGTTTCGATGAGTTTTAATTTTTCCGTAAGCTCGCTCCTTCAAAAAGTGTCAAAAGCTGTTTTTAATTGGCAACGACCTGCTCTACAAATTTGTAGAGCAGAATTTCAAAATATGTACATTCCCACAGTCGCGTGATCATCAATATCCCGCTGAATTTGGCGAGATCGGAAAAATATTTATTTCAAAAATCTCATTTTGTCAGCGATGCACCTGACACGGACTACTTTGGAGCACCGGGTAGGTTTCGAGCCTTGAGCCTTAACCGACTAAATGTTTTACAAGGAAGTAACATAATCCTTGACAGATTTACACCTCGAAGTGTACGAAGACTCCCACAGTGCTTGCATCCGGAAGACGAAACCAATTGACGGCTCGTGGAGCCCGGTCTTTCCGGAAGTGTTCTCCTACAAATACGTACACAAAGGGGAGGTTCGCGTTCTACTAATTTTGAAAATTATCCCTAATACATATACATAAAAATTCTCCCATATCCTATTTTGTTTCATAGAGTTTAACCCTTAAAGAATCACTAATTCTGCTCAACAAAACGCAACAAAATTGAAAGACCCCAAATTTTACATTGCGTTATTTTAGGAAATACCTTAGTTTTCGGCAATGCAATGTTTAAATTTAGCATTTGGTTTGCATAGGAGAAAATCCCCCAAAAAATAACGTTAGATTTTACGCGCAGGTAGAAAATCGTGAAAACCTATGACCTTCCGGAAACGACAATCGAACGAATTAAACCATTTACAAGAAAATTGTCCTACGCCCGAATTAAAGGGTTAAAACTTGTTTTGTTAGTTGCCGTACATAATCTATTTATGGCCAGGTCTTTAAGCCAGGTTAGGTTTACAAAAAAATTATAACGGTTCTAATTCCGAGGACCATTTAACGCCTGAACTTAAACTCTTAGAGGCATGTATTTCCAAGTTAAACCGAGTCAACAATTCCTATGCAAATAAATAGCTTTTAAAAATCAGCAGATAAAAGAACCTGCTCAATAAGGATGCAAGTCAGTTCTCCTTAAATTTGACTAATATTTTCCCACCCTTGTTTCCTGTAGTTTCTCAAGTTTGATATTTACGAAAACGAGGCGATCAAGGATCACTGGGTGAGTTAGATATGCACGGTATACGGAGATTGCGACTTTACGGAAATAAACTAAAAGTTTGACTTTACACAAATTTTGAGTCCAGCCGACTTTAATGTAATTCCCCTGATTTTTTACCCTTTAAATAATGTTTTATAGGATTGTAACGTATTTACCTTAATACTAAATTTTGTCGTATTTTGATTGTGTGCTGACTCAGCACTGCTGAGTCGCAATTCAAATTCCCAATTGATTTTTAACTTAATTTGAACTTAACTTTTTTCCACCGACCCTTAACCTTCCTAGTGATACTAAATTTAGCTTTTACGTGAAAATTTAACGTGTATATATATATATACCTTTAAAACAGGACCATAGCAAATTAAGCGATTCTAAACTAAATTTTTGACTTAACCTAACCGACGATTTCCACCAGCTATCGCCGGTAAAAAACATTTTGTGTTGTTTTCCGGTGTTTTAACAAATAAACCTGTTCAGTGGCCCCAAACTAGTCGATTAAGGCACTTTTTAAAATTTCATGACCTCTTCATGTCATGGTGCGAAAACCGCACCTGCCTCGACTCTGAACGTCTATCTTTCTCCTTCGATTGTGCAGGAACCAGAAGGCCCACTGCGGGCAAACTTCACACAAACCATCCCTAGGGCATGCTCTTGGGTCATTCTGGAGCTTGACATTCTACCTGCACTACATGACCGTAAAACCTAGGGCGGGTGGGGTCATTTTGGGTCATTATGTCACTATTTTTCACATAACTCGCATTTACACAATTATTGATGGATTTTCTTAGTTTTTGCCGCAAAATGATCTGAAAGAGTAGTACTATTCGTTAAGAATTTCTAATGTTATTGTTGTATGAACAATTTTTGGCACTAATGTCTTAGGTCATGAGGTCAAGTCTCATATAGTGGGGCATCGTTCGAAAGGTCTTGGCGGGAGGACTCAGAATATATATACATTGTGGGGTGTGGGACCACCCCCTGATGATTTATAGACGGATGAATATTACTAGGTTTTGGTATTCCGGGGATGCAGAAGTTAACACTGTAGAGGATTGAAACTTAACATAACAGTAGATAGACGAAAACTGAATTATATTCCTCTGTATCTCGGTATGTCGTCGTGGGTGGAAGCGTAAATGAGAAAATTTGCGGAACCGCAAATTTTCTCATTTACGCTAACAAAAGTCGCAATCTCCTCAGTAATGGCTCGGTTTTTTTAAAGAGACACTTTTTTTGCATTCAAAACTTGTCCTCTTTCAAAATTCAAAGCATAATATCACACAAAAATTTACATTCTGTATCTGACCGGACACATTCTTCCATTTGCAGAAACTGGGTCATGCCATGGTATGGAATATGTTCCTTGAAGGGGTCGCCCACTACACGACGGACGTCTTGGTGCCCAACAGCTTATACGAACCATTGAAGAACAAGGCCGGCAAGGCGACAACTCTCCACATTTTCAACTACGAAGACGACCGCGGCACGCCACAAACCGACCAAAAACTTAAAGCTTACAAAGGACACTTTTTAGAAATTGGGAATTGCAAAAAGGCGTAATTTGATCCCTAAATACTAACAAAATGTACAATGTTATTGCAAACAAGTGAACACATTATTAACAACCTTTCGTATTATAAATGACGCTTGTAATTATTAACAAAATTTCGTTTTGTTTACAAAATTCCGAATCAAATAGTATAGTTAACGTTCTAACAAGGTGTATTAGATTGACGTTATTAGTTATTAGATACACACCTTACGCCTAACAAGGGAAGGTTCCCCACCGCTTGTCGTGTCCAGGGTACCCACCATGTTTTTTAGAATCTACTAGGACCCTAGACGAAGGATCCATTCACATTTCCGTGTTAATCGCATATTTGGCGTGGCGCCAAACTTAAAAATCGACATTTTCGACCAATTTCAAACCTCCACAACTTTTGCAGTTTCCGGGGGATTTTCAAAATTTTGGGCTTAAAATGACCACACAGTCCAAAATTTTATGAAATAAATAAGAAATGAAATATTTTTATTTTTTGATATTTTTTCGGCGACTCCCCAAGCGTAAGAACATTTTGAAAAAAATTGAAACAATAATTTTTTTGAAAAATTTCATGGCATACGAAAGTTGAACTCTTTTTAATGATTTTTGGAATTTTTTTTGAAAATCCACCCGGGATTTCAAAAGTTATGGCGCTTTCAAAAATAAAAACATACAAATTTGGCGAATTTGGCGCCACGCCATGGCGCCAAATATGCGATTAACACGGAAATATCCTCCGTCCTCCGTCTAGGGTCCTAGTACGAGGTGAGTCTGAAAAGTAGTGGCAACATATTTTTATTTCGAAAACGTTCAATATTTATTCGGAAACATTTTGTGGTTTTTCAACATAATCCTCGTCCAGTTCAATACAGCGTTCAAGTTTGTGCCTGAGTTCCTTCATTGCCTCACAGGAAAATTCTTACCAAAATTCATTCAAGATCTTCTGCGCCAACGCGATTACTTCGTTGTTATCCTCATATTTTTTTCTTCTGGTAATTTTTTTCAAATTTGGAAACAGATAAATGTCACATGGGTCAAGGTCAGTAGAATACGGGGGGTGGTCAGATTTCCACAGCCAGAATCCGTCTAAGGCGGAGTATACAATCTTGGCCGTCTGAGACGAAAAGTTGTCGTGAAAAAGAAAATACCACTTTTGTAGAGCCCCACGTCTCTTATTTTTGATGCTGTATCGTAATTTGTCCAAAACTTCAACATAATGTTTGGAATTCATGGTGCTTCCTTTGAGGAGAAAGTCGGTTAGCAGAACGCCTTTTGAATCTAAAAAATCGACGCCGAAACCTTTCCCGCCGACATTGATGCTTTTTATCTGATTCGGCCGCTTGGTCCCTTCGCCAACCACGGAATTGGCTGTTGTTTTTATTCGGAATCATAATGATGAATCCATGCCTTATATCCGGTCACTATTTGGCTATGGAAATTTTCGTTGTCGGCGGACCAGAATTCTAGCAAGGCTCGACATGATTGCACCCGTTTTTGCTTTTGAGCGAGTTGGAGCAAGCGTTTCACGTATCTCGCTGATAGCTTGGGAAATTCCAGTTTTTGACATAGGATAAAACCGACTCTCTCACGACTAATCCCGAACTCGTTGGCGATTTGATGGATGACAACTCGTTGATATACCTCAACAAATTCCCATACTTTAGCACACATTTCCTCATCAGAAACGGAAATTGGTCGCCCAGGTCGAGGTTCGTCTTCAATGGTCTACCTTCCACGCTTAAACTCTGAAATCCACCTCGCAACTGTCGGATACTTTGCCCTTCAACTCTCTTCAACTTTTTAAAAATCTCCGTTGCGGTTTCGCCTTGCAGCGCAAAAACATCGGACGAGGGATCGCACCTCAATTCAGGAAAACTCCATCTTTACTCCGTGGTTTTCACTTTGACAAAGCAGTGGGAAGAAACCGCTGATCTGATTTCGATAATTTTTGGTACACAATGTACACAGGGTGGAAGGATTGTATGGCGGCAGTTTCAGCTTTTCATCTTGCCGTTGAAGCATCGATTGCCACTACTTATCAGCTTTCCCTCGTAGATTCTGAAAAATATAGTGGATACCCTGGACACGACAAGCAGTCGGGAACCTTCCCTTGTAAGTTCCATGTTTCGATCGTGGAAAAATTAATAGCGAAAATGCAATTATTTTTGAAAATTCTAACAATTAGAAAATTTGGGTCCGTAATCGAGGCAGCGGACAAATTCTGGTCAAAAATAATTGTCTAAATTATTTCCAGCCATGTTTGATTCAATTTTGACGATTTTGTGACAAAAGCCAAATTTATCAAAATTCTCAAAAAATTCGCACATTTTGGCTTCCAGCGCAAAAACTGGCCCCCCAAAATTATTACGGATTCTTCATGTGCACAAAATTACGCAATTTTTAAGCCATCCAACTTCAAAATCGTTAGAGCGCGAAAAAATCACAATTAGATGATATACATATATTCTAAATATGTAACTTTCTCTCGCACTATTATTTTATATAAACAAAAAAATATATTCTCTTATTAATCGGAAGCAATTCTTTAGCAACATTACAACTTTTGAAAACAAATCTATTTTTTTAATTTTTATCGTTGCCTTCGTACGAAGCCCAACTGGACTAAAATACTCCACAACAACGAACGGTTTACCAGATATTATTTCACGAAATTTAATAATTCCAGACCATGTATACTTGTTCGTCCTGTTATGAACACCAAACTCCGAATCGATCTCATCATGGCTACCAATCGGTGGACAAAGTACTGGCCAGTGGCTCCCTGTGTCCCTGAACAAACCTGGGAACGTTATCCCCTCAGAACACTGGCGATGGATTTCGGGCATGACATCCTCTTGTGGGTTAGGATGGTCCATAGTTTCCAACTCAGCACAGAAATGTGGTTCATCCGAGATGTTTTTATGTATACCCACCAGTATGTCACAATTTACCACGACTGCCTTCAACTCCCACAATACTAAGGATGATTGCGGCGGCTCCGGGATAATATCAAATCCAACTTGGAACGCTTTACAGATCGTGTTCGGCGGGGGGATGGAGTTTGCCACGACGACTGTTCGAGGATGGGAGTAATAATGTAAATAATTATTTAATCCCATTTCCCGCAGAACAAATGCCAAGACGCGTCTTGTCCGAATAGTATCGAAGTGCTCCTCACCCAACACCTGATTCCTGGATTGTAGCACATCCTCAAATGTTTCTTTTGCATTAGCATAATCATTTTCATAGTACAAACATAGTCCGACGGCATGCTTGGTTCGGAGTGTTTCCGAATAGCTTGACCCATATCTTGAACATCGCCATTCGTATACTTCCTTCAGTATTTCCATTGCCTGCTCAAAATTTCCTGCGAAGATGTTCCTTAGCCCTAAATTGTGCTTGGAAATGTATATGCTTTTTAGATCTTCCGAATATTTTCGCTGTCTAATTTCAAGAATATATTTGTTGCGCTGTATTGCATCCAAATCATCCGGAATATAAATTGCGAGTTGGTGTGCGATACGGAGAGTGTCTTCATCTTCGATCCCAAATACTGTCGTGCTCTTTTCGAGTAGTTTCTCCAAAATCATTGTAGCTGCTTCCGTTCTGTCCATCCATCCAATTGAAGTAGCAAGTTCCCTTTCCATCCTCAATGTGTCTCGGTTGTTCTCTCCCAAACTATGTTTTAAAATATCAACATTGAGCAGAGCGAATTCGTAAGCTTCGTTAAAAAGTGAAAGCTTCAATAGACGACCGACAAGCTTGACAGGAAATGCGGAGTGATCACGAACCACGGAGTCCATGTTAGCTGCATGTTTCCATATTTGCACCGCATGACCAATTTCACTTCTGGACCAGCCCTTGATCACGAGATTAGTCAGTATACGTCGAATATGTTGTTCATATTCGCTCTTCATGAGATACCGAGTAACATCCTGCACTAACCGATGTATCGTCAAAACCCGGTTACTTGAGATGATCAAGGAATGCGTCTTGAGCATACGCAGACCATCTTCAATATCATCAAGAGATATCTCAAATAAGTTACTCATCCTGGTGAGCAAAAAATCTACCGCTATTTCATCCGGCTTCATGAGGGAGATCAGTTGCAAGAGCAAAATGGCGTTCTCGCCAGAGCTCACATGTAGGGAAGTTATTGACATGCTGATGGTTTTCAGGGCAGACTTCCCATACTGTGACTGGTTTAGTGTTGTGTCTAATAAATCTTGTGGTTGGATATCAAACACCGCTAAGAAATTAGATATATTATAAGAATCCCCTTCCAATGAAATATTTCGTTGGTGTTTTATGTAAGCTATGGCTTGCTGTAGAGCCAGAGGGTAGCAACCTAGTCGAATGCACAAAGTTTCAGCTTGCAGTCTATCCCAGGCTAAATGAGTAATGACAAACTTCATTGCGTCCTCTATTTCGAATACATCAAGTGAAAGAATTTCTGACTCCCCGCCACAAATATCACGGTTTGTTGAGGTTACGATAAGTTTTGCATTACTTAATTCTGAAATTTTTCTAGTTGCATTGTTAAATAGTTCATGGCCTTCGGCATTGTCTATGACGACGAGAAGTTTCCTTGCCCCACAAATAATTGGCACGTTCAAAACTTTACACCAAATATTAATTGGCTCATCCTTATCCAAATATGAGATGGATAGCTGCCCTGCTATTTTAAGGAACGAATCCCTCAACGAGTCGAAAGTCTCCCCGTGAAGCCAAAGTATTGTTATGCCATCTTCTTGACACGAATGGTAAATTAAATTTTTAATCAATTCTGTTTTTCCCATTCCTGCCAGTCCACAGATAACCAGGGCTCGTTGCGATTGATTGTCAAGAAATTTCAATAATGTCTTCGCCTCTGTCACTCGACCAGCAAAGTTGCCACTCTGGGGTGGTGCACATAGTATGCGAAGTAATTGTTTGATGTGTACTTGCAATCTGGCTTCTCTAATGAGCGAATCAATATCTTCGGGGATAATGCTAAGCAATTTCAATTTCTCTGCGGCCTTGGTACAGCTGGACTCAAATTCGCATTCCGTTATGTATTCGTCCCGGCCATGGTGGTTCATCATATTTCGTATATCTTTAATACATTTGATACCTTCTTGTTCGCTTGCCGTGAAGATGAATGGGACACCCCATGAATCCCATATTGCAGGTGGAAGATGGATAACACGAAAACACAGCGTAATATCCCATTTATCAATGTCCCTTTGATTAAGGACATGTAACTCTTGTTGCGTCCACTTTTTATTGTTGGGAAGAATATTGAAAATATTTTGCTTCGTAGTTATCTCCCATTTGTTCTTTTTATCAGACATAATTCCCTGGACAAATTTGACACATCCGTCGAGCAGGTAACGCAGTTTCACCCAGTGTGCTTCTTCTAGAATTAAAGTAATAGTCAGCACTAATTTTTGAATGCAGGGTGCATCTAATGCTTACCAAATACTGTTGTAGTCATTGTAGAACTAGCAATTTTGTATTGTCACAGGCAGTTAAAAAATCTGCGGAAATTATGTAATGACATTAACATTTGATTTGACAAATTTTCTGTATCTGATATTTTTTATTATGGTATTTGTAAGACCAACAAGACCTCACTTATTTAGGCTCGAAATGAATAACTGTGTACCCGTGGGACGACCAACACCAAAAACAACTCTGGAAAGAAGTACTGATTGGGTCTTTAGTGATTAAAAGTAAGAAAGATTGGGAGGAATGTAGAAACAAGAAACCTTATTCGTTACAGAATTACAACTATTTTATTGCAGTATTGTATTATTAAGGAGGAAAGATGTGTCAGTGATAAAGTTATTGCAATGACTCTCGTGATTCTGACTCATTACCATCCCTCTCGACGTAAATAGAAAAATATACATTGTCAGTTTCAGAATATGCTCTTAGCAAAGGTAGGATGTCCCAAAAAAATAGATAACTACCAACTGAATGGTGTATGATATGCTTATCTTATCAGTCCTGCTTCATTCGGTTGGGGATACGAGCAGTCGGCAACGAATGAGGGCATGCCTATTGGCCGGTGCGAGTTGCGAACGAAAATGCCAAGTATAGGCAATTAGGGTCAGATTATCTACTTATTACAAAATGAGAAGTTGAACAAAATGAGACGAACTGGATTAATGCAAAAATCGTGCAAAAATTATTTTTCCTTTGACTTCAATTATATTATGGAACCACGGGAAGGATTAAAATTCATACAATATTTAAAAAAGTAAATATGAATACAACAGAAATAATCATCAAAACCAGTTGTAAATCAGGTACTCATATAAAACTGATTTATTTAATATTTTTGTTATACTTTAACAAAATTAGAATCACGTCCTGAAACACTTGAACACGTGCATTTTCTCCGAACACAAAGTCAGAATGTGAAAAGCTCTTATCTTGAATAACAATGTGGCTGATAAGGTTCGGCAGTTCTCCAGAGAGTCGTGCGACATCCTACAGATACAATATACAAAATAATTACCCGGGCACTTTTACAGCCCCTAAACTGCACATCATCCGGTATTAATTCAACACCGTGCAGACTGCATGTATTACTTTTCCGCCGTTCTTGGTGCCAATCATTCTTACTGAAGGCGACAAACTTATACCAAGTGGTGACAAACTAACACCCAGAAATTAACACTGCCATGACTAGAACGGACTATTTGCAGTGTATTTACCTCAGGAAACTGGTTATTAAATCTTACCTGAGGTGTGCACGAGAGATCCCCGGTTGAGGAGAAGGTAGCAACTGGAGTAGAAATATGGACAGCCTCATACTTCGGGGGAGTAGGTTGACCATACACCTTTCTATTTGTTGACCTTCCATAGTCATACATTTGTAACTGGCCGGCCGAAAAGCATTGAAGGCCGTGACACACGACTTTGATCGATGTTTTGTTTGCCGACCTTTTCCAATATATTTCCTGGCGGAGGCGCCAAATTTAAGAAATAATTGTTAAATGTACGAGGTTATTAATCTTGTAAGGGGACGTCAATAAATTATGTAATGCGAGAGGCGGAAGCCGGACAGAAGGTTCCAATTATATCGGGTCAATGTGACACGTTAAAAGATGGGAGCGGGATGTAGAAAATCAAAATTTTTGCGTTACGTAATTTATGGACAGCCCCTAAAATAACTAACCTTCTCAATGTGCTGAGTACTATTTTGACTCTTCACCTCTCCACTTGGATGCATGCAACATCCCGACAAAAAACCAATTTGTTTAGATTTCGGAACCACATACCGGATATGCTTATGAGTCGTGCGATTGGTGATTGGGTGTCTCCGAATGTAACTGCTCGCCCCCTGAGATTAAGACAAAATCGAAAAATAAATTTTGACACGTGGCAAATTTACACATGGTTTTTTAAACTTATATTTTGTGACCTACCACACAACTTCCAAGACCTAGGGATATTTTGAAAACTAAGCCGCGAATATACTCCCCATAATGTGCCGGGGCCAACCCAACACAAACATTCACTTTCGAACAAAATTCCGGATTGGTGGATAACAGGGCAAAGAGAACCGTGAAACCCATGGAGTGCCCGACGTAGGATAGGTTTGCATTTCCGGTCAAGTCTAGAACATAATTAATAATTGCGGGCAGGTCGTATACACCCATTTCGTGAAACCTAAAAATTTATAAGTATTCTAATGTCACGTGACTTATTACTCTGCAAATCTATTAAGGCATAATATATATTCGGTATTTGATTCGATATTTTAATAATTTGACACAGAGTTCAAGTGTAACATATCGAAATTTCGAAACATATCGAATTCAAGTTTTTCGATATTTCGATATTTAATTCGATATTTCGATATTTTACTCGATATTTTGATATTTTAGCATGGAAAATTTAAATAGAAAATCGACTTTTCGAGATCTCAAAATATCGAAATATATCAAATTTACTTTTTCAATACTTCGATATTTTAAAATGTGATTTAATTCATAATATCGAAATACCGATATTACATGCCTTAATATCTATTAAATTAATTGAAAAATATCTTACGAGAAATCCCAAAACTTCTTCGACTTTACCGACAACGACACATGTTTCATGGATGAACCCCGCAAAGTCGGAATCCAACAGTCGAATCCTTGCTCAACCAGAAGATAAGCTGTCAAACCACTCAAACCATTAATATTTCATACATACCATAAACTCAACAACTTACACAAACTGACATGTGGCAAACACCAATTGTCCCCGTGACAAGTCAGCCCGTGCACAAGCAGAACGGCAGGTTTCTTCGCATCTTCGGGAGAAATCTTTTCCTCACGTTTTACCAATCTTTGTAATTTTAAGATGTATCCATCCTCCGTGATTACTTCGTGGTCGTCCAACATGAATGAGTTTTCTTCGTCGCTACAGCAGGTTTGAACAGTCTGCCGACTTTTTTCGGCATTATTATTATTATTATAACTCATTATAAACTAATTACCAATTTTCGGCACTTGCAATTTGTCAAATTTTGCAACCAGAATAAATCGCAACCTTACATAAATTGGCAACTTAACTTAATAAACCAGTGTCAGGTTTTACGTGAACTTTTTTATTCGTCACTCAACAGATGATTAGATAGCTGGCAGAGTGCTTAAACAATATCATTTTATCTTTGCTGTGCTTTTAGTCATAAAAAAAATGTGTGGGCACTGACACTCTTTACTTGTCCGTGATATTGTAGACCTACAATGTGTCGAGTATTATATCCTTCCATGGATAAATAGGCATGCAGAATACTGAGATGAGTACATAACGATCATGGACAAATTGCATGGTGGAGATGCAATTATTCATAATTGAGATTCATGGAGCAGGACGAGCCTGACAGATGTCAACTGAAGAAGCTGAGCAACAGGTAGATATGTAAATTGTGTGCACAATGGATAACATGCATATGTAAGTGTGTGGATGGTTAAATATTTTACATGGAATGAGTTTGCAAAAAACTATTTACTTATCGTCAAAGATATGAATGGATTAATATATCATATAATTTTGCAAATTTTTAAAATTTACAAATCAAACAAAATAAGATAAATAATTTTTGCCAAAAATAGATTCTTTTGTCTTTATAAATCCTGCACTTATAAATGACGGGTAATTTCAAAAATCCATATTAAATAAATCCACATTTTTCTAAATTACTGCCAACGTCTCCACCGACAACCTCGGTATTTGGTGGATTTTCCTCTGGTCTGGCAAACCTTGTCAGGTGCAACCCTATCGATAGGTTTAATGGGGCTTGTGTCTAGGTACGTTGGGATAATTAGTAACTAATATTCAATTGTTATACGTAAGTTGTACATGTGTACCAAAAACAAAGCGCGATAATTAAGGAAATTCGTGTACAATTGTAAAATGCATCCATTCCAGATCTTCACAATTTTGTGACAAAGTTTGAGTCCACGCCGATTGTAGATGGTGGAGTAACAAGTCAAGGTCCCGAAAACCGGGATTTCTTAGTGAGGCGTGGGTGTTAATTAAATTTTCCGATATCCATTTTTATTTGCATTGTTGTCGTCAATGACATTTATAAATTATTCCACTGGACCTATTTTCATCGAATTTTTCAAAATGGAGCATCGGAGAAAGTTTGGCATTTCGTCACCGATTTTGGCCATTGATAGCTTAAAATTTACAGAAGGACATGGTCTAACTCGTGGGAGAAAATTTAGATTAACATAATGTTCCAATAATTTGCAATAGATTTTTAAGTGAAATCAAGTTCAAATTTTGGCAGTTTTTAGCACATAACTCGGGTCAGAATAAACGAATCGCTTTGCCTCGTTCTAAATCGTCTCTAAATTGTGAAACAATGTTCTGTGTCAATTTTCATACAAATCGGTTGAGAAATGCTAAAGTTATACGATATTTTCACCTTTTTCAGGTGGACTAGATGCATACTTACAATGCACTGCTGTTGGCGGCTACACTCAGATTTCGATGGGACCAATTTTAATTTGTTGAGGGACCAAAATAAGCGGGCCCGTATTTTTACATTTTCTTTAATGCGCGATTTTAAATGCTTGGCGGAATTTTCAAAATAATTTTCAGCTAAAATCTAAGGTTTTCAAAACGCTGTAATTTTTCGAATTTTGGTGCGATTTCAAAAAATCGAAAATATCTATGTATGCTTAGAATCAGTCCCTCTAGAATAAAAAAAATCCATTTTCAAAAAATTTTATAAATTCGAATTTTGTCGATGGTTTTTATATTTCGAAAATCAAAAGTTGGGTAAAAATTTTTTGCATCAATTGATGCTAATTAATATGCCCCATGTGCAAATCTTAGCAAATTAGTAGCACCATTGGTCTCGAACAGTCGACAAAACAAAATAGTGCCAAACAATTGAGAAACTAGATGTAAAACACACCAAACGTGCATAAGAACCGAAAAAAAATAACTAGAATTTTTACTTCGAATTTGTCAAGATTTTATGTCAAAATTATGGATTCACTTTCCTCGTTTATTTTCCACCTTTGGTGAAAAATTATATCACAATTATGTATACCTATCTTTTGTCCGCCTATTCTGCACCATTAATGCAAAATTATGCAAAAATCATTATTACAGGGTGAGCTACTTCTAACGTTACAACGGTTTATTTTCGCTAAAAATGTGTGTAAAAGTTCGTAAGATTACAAGAGTAACGCAGGTTACGAAGGTTACAAACTTTGACGTGAGTTCCCCCATTTATTAATAAATATAATTTACGTACATATGTCACGCTTAGGAACCTGCGTAACTTGGTAAACTTTTATACATACTTTTGTATTTGTATATAAATGTGTATGTACAACTTATAATTTCTTCCATTTAAATATGTAATAAAGTAGTCTAAATGCATACGTGAATATTAATACGAAGATAATGTGTATTTGGATTATTTCATTGTTTAATTATGCCGACAAAAACCGGACATGATTATTTTCAGTGTATTATAAACACTGTCGGGATAACCAACCATGCCGAATTTTGAAGATAACATATTAATATGGTTTCCGTCAGAGGAAACCAATTAATAACTTGTAGGATGTATGTACACTCTAAACAAAATTTTAATGAATAATTACTGCGCGGAGTGCATATATGCCTCTACCGCGATAGTAATGATTTGGTATTAAAACAATACTATATGGTAAAAAAGTAACACAAATTAGTGTTAAATTATTACCAAAAAGTGATATTTTATTACTAAATCAATACCAACATGGTGTAAATTTTTAATTGCGTCACGGTAGAGTCATATATCTACTCCGCTGATTTTTTTTATTACCAAGTTGCTAAGAGTGTACATATGTATGTCATACTTAAGGATATGAGCTTATAAATAACCACAGCTCTTCCTCTTTTCCGTTGGTAACAACAGGATGAGGTTTAACACACATTAAAGAATCTGGTAATTTATAAAGTTATATATTGTCACCGGGCTACTAATAGACAGACTTTTTACAGAATGGTAATCAAAATGTTACTGTTGATTGGCTGGTAATTAGTGACATTTAACGGATACAAGTTACATATGTATAACCACTCTGGTCATATTTTAATTACCATATGCTAATATGTTAGAAAAGTCTATATATTATCGGGCCGACGACTATATTTGACTTCATCTATTGCCAGATTATTTAGAGTCACACTACAAAAAACTATCAGGACACACGTTAATTTTATACAATTTGATCCAGTATTGAGCTCTGTTCATTCAGTCATTTCTCAAAATGGCGAAAATTCTAGTTCTTCTCTTAATTACGATAATTGCGGCTAAGGGTGTACCTTTAGACGACAATGAAGATCAGGTATATTTTTTAATATTCCCATTAACCATGCGAGTGCAAAAACGGATTTTTCAAAACGATGTTTAGTCCTCATTTCTTTAAAGAATTAGAAACCCATTCTGTGGGCACCAATATTCTCCACAGAATTACGGACACGTCTTCAAGTCCATTAACAAATGAGTACTAAATATAGTTTGTAAAAAAATTCGTGTCTCTCGAACAGCCAAGCAGACATTTTTGTACAATTTGATGCAGCAATTAAAGTCAAAGATTGCTAAATTCCATAACCGCAAATTATTAAGACCACTTTAATTTAAAGGAAATTAAGCAGGACGAGGTTCGAACTCGGCCACAGGAGGAAACTCCGTCGCCAGAAGAATTGCAATTTCTTGCCGATTTGCAAGCCGAGAACGGGAAAAAGTATTCTGATCTGTCAGACGGGGAAAAATATCGCTACTGGAAAAACCATATTGACCGAGTGGTTCACTGGTACAATAAGATTCATGGATTCCTAAAAAATCAGTATGACAATTTGCGGTCATAAACTTAACCCAATATACAAATTTGTATTTGCTTTGAAATTTTGTAAATAATAAAGTTTTAGTAAGTAATTTCATACGTAGTAATTGAGAAAAACATAATAATATTAGCTTTTAGTAATAATTTGCTGCATAATGATTTATTAAAACATATTATTGCATTATCGAAGTTATCAGTATTCCACTAATATTCAGTATTTAGTAGTCCAGTAATTCCTAAGTGCGTTTAACCTGCTTTAACCGACACGCAGGAGGTTCTTATCCGAATCCGGGTTTTTTTCTCTTTGTGAAAAGTTTCTTTGTGGATACACACTGGTATCGATCCAATTCAGCTGCCTAGCTTGAAAGTCGTACACTTCAGTATTTACAAAAGTCAGCAGTTATCCACTTACTTATTTTTGGAACTTTGGCAAAGTTTAGAAATTCAATACAAGTTCATTTTTGACCGGATAAAGTCCGGATATAGTCCTTTGAAGGAAGAATCAAACGGATAAAATCCAATTGGACACTTCCAACTAGAATCTTAAAACTCTTGTAGTACAAGAGTTATTGATATGTGACCTTACCGCCTTGGATGCAGTCCAACAAGTTCAAAATTCGCATGCCACTTTTGACCCAGCTCCAAATCCTGGTCAGCTCCTCAGTTGTCCCCGATTTTTGGGAGTATCTTATCCCAGACCTCGATAAGCATGGAAAAGGCCTGGAAATACCGCAAATCAAAACTTTAAGTATTTCCTTTACAACGGAAGATTGCGAGTCCGTCCACGTGACCAGATTTACCCGGATATTTCCGAACCTCACCCTGTTCCAGCACGTAGCCAGATTAGGGGACCGATTGCATCGTTGCGACCACACAATTCGGGATGCCCGACTCGTCAAAACTGACAGGTCTGAGGACAACGCAGAATTATTGGAGGGATCGATTCCTCACCCTTCACATTTCATTGATCGTGATGTCCATCGCATTATGAAAATGACAAATTCACCAGACGCGTCTTTTTGGGATTAAGTTCAGATTTTGAAGTTTTTTCTGCCCTGAATTGGAGCCACAACTGTTGGAAATTATTAAAACAAGGGAATTTCTCTACACGCCCCTCGTAGATTTTGAAATCACAGGATCGAAGAAAAGGCCCAATGCGTTGTAATACCATTATCATGCTTGCGCCAGACACCAAAATCTGCCAAAAACACAAAAATATCCCTGATTTCACTCGTTCAAACCCTTCCCATAAATCAAATTTTACTCGGATTTATACGAGGATAATTATACAAAGATATTTTATGCTTTTTAATATACCTACACAAAATTAGCCAAAATGTTCCAA